GCCGTACATCTTCCAAGAGAGATCTGTTTGTCCTTTTGGCCACCCAGGGTGCGTTCAATATTCTTCTCCAGCACCACAATTCAAATGTAGCGATTTTTCTCCAGTCTTTCCTATTCAGTGTCCAACGTTCACATCCATAGGAGGTGATTGAACAGACCCTGGCTTGGGTCAGGCGCACCAGCAAACTATACGCCAATTCCGCTGTTTCTCCAGGTTGCATCCCGTGACACTGAGGCGAGGACATTGTAACGGCGCCCAGGCACCTTTCCTGGTTGTCTTACTGATAAACATGCATGCTCCGCCCCATGGAGGCCTCTCCACAGTCCATGTTGTCCGTGGGGCTTCCTGCGGTTAATTTTTCAAAGAGCTCATCACTCAAGGCAGACACTCTTTGCTAGTGAAGCTAAACTCTTGTCTGATTTTAAAGTGGCTTCAGGGGATAGTTTTGGCTTAAGGTTTAAAGATGCACTCAGAGCAGTAATCCCGAGGGCCCATCTGGGAGAAATGGAAATTCCGTTCTGCAACCCACACCCTTTGAACAGGGTTCTTCAGGGGGAGGCAGTCTTATGGGTGGAGATAAGAGAAGGGGCCACAGGCCAAGTGGCCCAGGGGAAGGCAGGCATTCACTCAATAAACATTTATTGAGCTCCAGCTGTGTACACAACCCTGTGTTGAGCCCTGAGACAAAACAAAACAGAAACTGGTTGCAGTCCCTTTAGACTCACAGCGCCTCCATCGGCACCCTGGTGGTGTCATGGGTACACACTGAGATGCTGACCTTAAGGTCAGCAGTTTGAAACCACCAGCTGATGAAGTTTCGTACTCCTGTAAAGAGTTACGGCCTTGGAAACCCACAGGGGCAGTTCTGCCCTGTCCTCTCGGGTCCCCATTAACTCGATATCAGAGAGTTTATGAGACAGGATAGACCTGCCCCCGATGTCTCAAAGGCTGAAATCTTGGCAGGGGCCGACCAGGCCATCTCTCTCCGTCTCTCAGAGCTGCCCGGGTGCTTAAGGGGGCACCTGATGCCAGACCCTCGGCTTCAGAGAACAGGGGTCCTGCCCCCACCCCGGTGATCAGGAAAGCCCTTGAAGAAGGCAAGCTTCGGGATGGGGTGGGGAGGGTGCTCCCGCTGGGAACAGGCGTCCCCTGAATGGCCACCGGGGTTCCTTGTGGCCCATCCTGAACAGCATTCCTTTAGGAAGTCATTTCTGAATCTGTGCACCCCTCCCCCCCCCCATCTGTGTGCCCTCCTCCCCCAGGGCACAATCCTGCAGGGGGGCCCAGCAGCTCCCTGCTCAGGGCTGGGTGGCAGGACAGCCTGCGGCTGCTGTTCGGTTCCCGCTGACAGCGCCTGCACAGGACAGTCGGCCAAGGGCGCGCGGGCCTCTCAGGCCCTCTGCTGATGCCCAAGGGAAAGGCTAGGACTCGCTTCCCAGCCTCCTTCTCCACACCCTCCTCCTGCCGATGCGCCGCCCGCTATGGACCCGGGAGACCCGGGCGGTGTCAGGATTCCCAGGGGCCTGGGCGCCATCTCCGCCATCTCCGCGCGCCCGCACACTGCCTCCGCAGCCGCGCCTCAGGCCCCACTCTGGCATCGTAGGCGGCTGGGTTTGCGCCTTTTCTTGGGGAGCAGGCGAAGGGGACCGAATCGGGGAGGGCCCGCGGACTGGCAGTGGGGTCTCTGCGGAAACGGCTCAGTGGCTGCCCCCCGCACGTGCCCCACTGACATCCCTGAGATCCACCTCTGAGATCCACCTCTGAGCCTTTTGCTGGCCTGGGTGCTCCTGACCCTCCACTTTGACGCTAATGCCCGCGCTTCTGGGAAGCCTGGTTCGTTCTCTCTCTCTCTCTCTCTCTCTCTGTCTCTCATTCACTCACTCTCTCACTACCCCCATCAAATTTCCAGGCCCTGGGCTAGGCATGCTGGATACACCAGACAAGACAATCCCTGCTGTAAAGTGACCCAGGTGGAGAGTCAGGGGTGCAGCCAGGCAGGGTCACGGCATGCCACCCCTCACCAGTGAGCCCTGGAGAAGAACTCTGCCCACAGCCTAACCCCTCTCCTGCAGAGCCTTGACTCCCCTTGCTCCTAGCACCCCCCTAGGACAGGATAGACCAACCCTTGTGGGTTTCCAGGGCTGTAACTCTTTATGGGAGTAGAAAGTCTCATTTGTCTCCCAGGTCAAGTGGCCCTGACCCAAACCTTCACTGCCCTGCCCAACTCCAAAGCATTCTGTCTGGTGGCCTTGGTCACCTGTGTCCCCCCACCCCACCGCACCCCACCCCCCATGGTGAACGTGGCAGCAGGGAGGGCAGGCGTTGCGAGCCGCCCCTCGCAGAGGAGGGAATTGAGGTGGGAGAAGCCATGGCTTGTCCAGCCTGGGGGACAGTCCACTGCCCGGGTTAAGAGCTGGGTCTACAGCAGCAGGGGATCCTGGCTGTGTCGCTTATAACTACTGGCTGGGCCACGGCAGGCTGCTTTCCCCTCTGGGCCTCAACTCTTCATTTGTAAAATGGGGATGGAGAGGGACTGCTACACTGTGGGACCGTGGAACCTGGCATGGTCATAAGGGCTTGTGGTGTGTGTGTGTGTGTGTGTGTGTGTGTGTGTGTGTGTGTGTGGTGGCAGAATAGATAACCAGACACACACCCTCCCAAACCCCGTGGCAATGTTCCAGGGGATCAGGGCAGGGCCTGATCACACACAGGGCACACATCCTGGGTGCTGAAGAGCTCAAGGCTATTATTAATAATTCACGTCTCCAATGTTCTTTCAAAGGGCTGCAGGCAGCAGCTGGCAGTGGGAGGCGGTTGCTTTAAATAAGGGATGGGGCGAACGAAAGGGAAGGGCAGAGGGGGATGCTCGGGGCTAGACTTCTCCCAGGGCCCCCCCAAACCTGGAGTGGGGCCCGAGGGCACTGCCTGACTCCTGCAGGAGCCCAGTCACTCCTGCTGAGAGGCCGAGCCCCACCACCCAGGGGGCTCCCTCCCATCCTCAGAAAAGCAGGAAGTGGGTTAAGAGGCTCCTGGAGTTTTCCCCAAGACAGCATGAAATATTCACCAGTTTTCTCCACTCCACAGGCACAGGCCCACTTCCGTGGTTACCATGGACCCCCGCACCACGGCCCTGTCTGTCCCTCCTCATGCTGCCTCCGGGTCCCTTGGCCCTGCTCTGAGGGAGGCCTATGGTCCCTGCCTCACAGGGGATGGGAGCACCTGCTGCTCCCCCAGGTGTGGGGACAGGCCTGAGGCTGACCTGCCCCCCACCAGATGTGTCTGATCCCAGTTGCCTGCTCCCCATGGTGAGTCTGATGTGGAAGGGGGGGTCTCAAGGTCCATTCAGGCTCTAGCCACGTGGCAGCGGGGGAGGGGGGCATCACAGCTGTGGGGCAAGGTGTGGCTGGGGTGGACTGGCTATGCACAGCTGTAGTGGGTGTCCAACCCCCGGGAGGTGGGGATGGAGAGGCAGACAGGTGGCCATTCGGGACACAGCGGGTGTGGCAAAGAGCGGCAGGCAGGCCTGGCTCAGAACCCCAGGCCTGATTTCTGTGCCCCGGCCTCTTTGGGGGTTTCTTCTTTTATAAAAGGGACAGGGACTGCTACACTGTGGGACCGTGGAGCCTGGCATGGTCATAAGGGCTTGTGGTGTGTGTGTGTGTGTGTGTGTACTTGACCGGGTCTCCCTACCCCCACCCACCCAGAGACGAGCCCCCTGTACCACCACCCCTCTGTGGACCCACCCCACTTAACGGAGCCCCTCAGGAGCTTGTCTCGGGCCTTCTCCCCTCAGCTCTGTGACAGCCTCCATGAGGCTGGGGGTCTAGTTCAATGCTGCCCCCAGGAGGCTGTACCTCTGAACCCCCCCATTTCTGCAGCATCTTCTCCTGAAGCCAAGCACCTCAAAGGTGCCCTGCCTTTCAGCAGTCTGTGTGCTCTTTGTGGGCAAGGGTGGTGTCTTCTTCCCTTAGGCCCCTCACCCTCCCCATGCCCACCTTTCGGCTCCCCACGGAGCTGTGAAGCAGGTCAGTCTGGGTGCCTGTGGCTGGGCCTCAGGGGAGGGGTAGGCAGTGACCCCTGATGAGGCCCAGGAACCCAGGGGTCCACACCCGCTGTGCTGCCCAGGCCGGTCTGCTATGTAGACAGGGACACCTGAGAGGAAGGGGTTCCCATGTGGAGGGACTCGCACACTGTGGGAGGCAGCTGCCAGTTTCAGGGCACCCTCCCAAGCCGGGTCTGAGAAACTTCTACCAGCTGTGAGAGATTGGGTACAGGACCCCATAGGGGTTGGAGGGTGGGGGCCCGAGAGCGCACAGTTAGGGGTGTGGTGTAAGTGGTCCGCACACCTGCCCCTCGCTCCAAGAGCTATTTTCATGCCCATTCTACAGAGGAGGCAGCGGAGGCAGAAAGAGGTTAGAGGACAGGGCAGGCCTGAATCCAGGTCTGAGGGTCTCAGAGTCCTGACCCTTCCCCTGCTTGTACCAGTGCCTCGGCACCCATGTTCGGGGGTACAGAGACAGGAGTGGTGGGTCAGCCACAGCTGTTCCCGGCCCGCCCATGCGCACGCGCCCTTCAAAACCTCCTCTCCTTGCCTATCTCTGGGGCACCCAGATTGCTAGAGGACCCTCCCAGGAGGCCACGGGGGAGGAGAAGACAAGTACCTGGGCCTCCTTCTGGGCCAGAGGCACCTGAACCCCCGAGGGCAGGGCTGAGGTTCTGTCCTGGCCCAGGCCCCCAGGACGAGGCCTGGCCACGGGCAGCTGCTGAGCTAGGCGGATGACACGGCTGGCAAATCTCTTGGTGGCTCAGTCTGGCCCTGGAAGGCATCTAATTCCATATCCACTCGGCCCCATCCAACTGCCCCAGTCCCTCCCCAGGACAGACGGTGTGCGATGGGGCAGGTTGGGATGCGGGGTTTCCAGCCACCCTGCTGCAAGGCCAGGGTCATCTGAGGGCCCCTGGCCCCCACCACGGAGAAAACAAAACACTGCACAGAAAGGTCAGTTTTTGGTCACTTTAATTGTAAAAACCAGGACATTTATATAAATAAGACCACTGTGTAAAATAGGATTCACCTTCTACTAAAACCCATCTCCCACACTCAAAAAGCTAGAAAACGCAGCGAGATGCGCAGTACAAATTGGCATGCGGTCCCTGATGATCGGCGGCGGCGGCCAGCCGGGCTCCCCCAGGCCCAGGCGGCTCAGAGTGGCCACCAACTGCACAGCGGGGCAGGGCGGGGTGGGCCTGGTGGATACTCCTGTGGCCCCGGGGGGAATTGGGGGGTGGGCAGAGATGACCGGCGGGGAAGGTCGCGTGGCCCTTGCCAAGCTGGGGCAGGCGAGCTGTTGGTCCCGCTGCACGTGATGGTTTGTTCAGCCTGGGGTCGGTCACATTGGGGTCAAGCTGGGGCAGGGGCTGAGGGGTTCACCCCTTCCCCAGAGGACAAGGAGAGAAACCTCCAGGGTCCCGTGAGAGGCAAGGCGCCCCCCGGGTGATTATGGTCACTGCAGGCAAGGACAGTGGCCACATTATAGCAGGGAGGGCACTGGAGGGGAGGGGCTCCCGGGAGGCCAGGGGAGAGCCCCTAGGAGGAGGAGGCTGGCCTGTCGGCTCTGACCCACTGCCCTGTGTGGTTCCGGCATCCCAGGACTCTGGGCTGGGGGTAAGAGAAGCCAGCACACTCACACACTGGGCTGAGGAAGCCAGGACCCGGGGCGGGAGGACAGGGCCCCATGCTCGCAGGGGGAAGTGGGGCTCCAGGCGGCTGGCGACCACGTCAGGAGCATTTCCAGACGCACACGGCCAGGGTCCCTCCGAAGTACAGGTACAGCAGGTTCTTCACCTCGTGCGTGATCTCAAAGCCAAAGCCTTCGCCGATCACCACGTGCCAGGAGGAGCCGAACTTCTTGTCCATCGTCTCTTTGATCATCTTGGCGGCACTCTGAACGGAGAGGACAGGTGTCAGAGAGGGCTGCTGGGGCGGCAGCGCAGCGAGGGTGGCTCTCTTGCCGTGGGACCTTCAGGCAGGGTCTCCCCCAGGGATGGGTAGCCTGTGGTCGCTTCAGCAGTCGGGAAGCAGCTAGCAGAGGGGGTTGTGCGAGCCTCTACTGGAGGCAAAGCCCTGGGGGCGTCTGGCTCGACCACCAGACAACGGTTAGCGAGGGAGGGCTGCCTCTGGCTGGTGGGTGGAGTGACAGGAGCGGCACACTCGACAGGAAGCCCCATTGCCACCGCCCGTGCTGGCTTTCTCCTGCTCTCCCTAGGGGGCTCCAAGAGGATGGGGCCCCTCACCCCTCCTGTGCTTACTCTTTCACACACTTGCCCTCCCCACCCCCATGGTGGAAGAGGAGGCCTGGGGAGGGCAGACCGGTGAGTCCTGGGCCTAGTCGCGCACACCCACATGACCCAGGGGTGGACGTGGCCAGCCAAGGTCAGAGCGAGGGTATGCACTTGGACATGGAGGGTTCTACACCTGGGCTCTCCTGGAGCCTGACGCCCCCAGCCCTTCCTCCTCCCCGCCAGACAGATGACCGTCATGCCTGTGTGGATGCTCCTGGCCGTTCGCCAGCCCCGAGGGTGCTGCCTGGACAGACGGTGTCCTAGGAGCTGGCCTCCAGATGGATGGAAGGGTGCATGAGTGAATGCGGGGCGGGCTCGGTGCACTGTGGGGAGGGGGCCCAGCAGCAGGTTTCCTGAGATGGGGACACGGCTATCCATGGGAGTCAGCGCCAGCCTCTTCCCTCACCTAGTCCCCAAGGCCTCTCTGGAGCTGGCTGCGGGCACGGGCCGCCTGCGTGTGGCCATACCTCGTTGTTGTTGGAGAACTTCTCACAGGCCGTGACACACAGCTCCATGGTCTCCACGCGCATCTCCTCCGGCATGTCCGAGTGCTGACGGTGGGCGGCAAACAGAGATGGATGCGCGCTCAGCCCGGGGCCTGCTCGCCCTGTCCCACGCTTAAGGCACGGACATGGGGGTGCTGCCCTGGGCAAAGCCTGATGCTCTTCCTCACAGGTGACGTCTCATACGGGGTGGGGTGGGGG